TAATCAGCCGGAAGTCAAAAAACGAGCTGGATAGTCAAGAAGATTCCAAACAGAAGTATAACCCCACCATTTGGCTGTGCCATGTTGCGGAGCTGCAGATGCACCTGCTGGTGTAAGAAGACAATCGATAGAACAATTGAAGGATGCTTCTCGCTCGTTCCATATCTGTGCATAATGACTACGATACTTTTCTCTGTCGGAAATCAATTCATTCAGTTCTATCCAGTCTCGTTTTTTGACTTCCGGCTGATTAAGGATCCAGTTGGTCAATGGTAGCGGTTGCTCATCTGCTTCTGTCATCAGATCTCACTCTGCTTGAGCTCCATTACAAAAATAGAGTGCACTAATTAAATCCCAACTTTTCTGATGATCGACTGGTTCCCAATCGATAACTCGAATTCCAGCTGTTTTCAATTGCTCAACAGTTTCATGAAGAGCTCGAATAATGGGTGGATGAGGCTGCACTACTCCATCATCCCACATGACAGCAACGGTTAAATTTGTCGAATCTAACGTAATTGTTCTCCAAGGAATGGGCACAAGAGATGGTTCTGTTCGCCATAGTTCGGTGTCAAGTATTATTTTCATGAATAAATTAATGTCTTCTCTCGCTCGAGCAAGTGGACCAATCGTACCAAGAATACTTTGACTTCTCGCCTGTGTTACCATCATACCTCGCAACGGTAATCGAAAAGTGGTTGGTTTCAATCCATAAACTCCATTAGTAGCAGCTGGAAAACGTATACTTCCACCAATATCGGTGCCTATTCCTATGGGACTACCTTTAAGAGCAAGGAGTGCACCTTCTCCACCTGAACTTCCTCCAGAACTTAATTGTCGATTAAATGGATTTGTAGTAGTACCGTATACAGGACTGCTACATTCCAAATGCATAAGACTTTGTGGTTGAGTAGTACGAACGTAGAAGACGGCACCTGCTTCATAGAGAATCTTCAAAATGAAAGCATCATCTTCAGCAATTCTATCAATCCATTTTATCCATCCTGAACTGAGCCGTCGTCCTCGCATCGGTACCATTTCCTTGACAGAGATTGGTAAACCATGAATCGGTCCTATGGGTCCTTCTCGTTTTTTAAATTCTTCATCCAAATATTTCGCTCGATCCACGGCTTCTTCGCCAAGAAATTCCGTGGCACAATTGGTTAGTTGATGAGCAATACCAGCTCGTTTAAGGTAAGCTTTAATAACTTGTTCAGCTGTTAATTCACCTTTAGCCAATAGATTCACAAGTTGAGAAGCTGTATATTTTTCAGTAATAGTAATTTCATCATCGGATAAAATGCCACATTTTTGTGGAACATCACTCACATCCAGAACAGATGCATCAGGAAGTGAATGTCGAAGTAAACTATCCTTGGGAATAGATGAATCTCGCAATTCACGTATTCGTTGAATAGATATAGACGCCATGACTATAAATGAGAATACCTTCAACAAGAGATATAAAAAAAACAAAAAAGCAAAACAATAAGCAATGAATTATGAAAAATATATATGAAATACATTGATGTAAATTATCTGTCCTTTTATTTCGACATATTCATATTATGAAATGTGCGTTTTTTTACAGTAAACATATAGATAGGATATGGCGTTTATTATAATAAAGAGAAACGAACAACACGAAGCTTCTAGTGATATGCATGAGCAAACAACAATAAAATCATACGTTTTTTACATACAATATTTTTGCATCATTCTAGAAGTAGAGATAATATTATTATTTTATTCGTATGATTTTTCATATTGGATCAATCTGACTAATATTTTATGTCAATTGTTAAGATTCTAGCAAAATCGAAATAGCGGGTATCGAGGTAACTATTACACAGCCACACTCGTCAAGTCGAGTACTATTAACAGCAACTATTTTGTAACTGCTAAACAACTATAGACAGAAGAATTGATAGACAGTAGATAAATTATATGATTTCTATTTGAGATACCAATATATTCATTAAAAACATAAAGAATTACTTTATGTAGAGACCATTTGTCATTAATTTTCTTAGATCGTTAACTTTTGTCTGTTTTCTTAAAGCAAAAAAAAGTCGACATCTTTTGTAGTCTTTATTTAGTAAAAGTACTTATCAAAAGTTGTTACTACAAGAAAATCTAACTATGAAAAATCAAAGACTATACACACTAGTCGAAATACGATGTTGTAATGCAATATAATGAATATAACATATTCAAATGATTAGTTAGTCCCATTGAAACCATGAATAATCATAACCAATACTAATTAGTGTGATATATAGGATTTAATAATAGATATTTGATTTAAAAGATAAATAAATTCAATTATTTTATCAAATATTCACACGTACCTTACTTTTTAAATTTATCTAATGTTAATTTTATTAAGATAGTTTTCATTATGATCCAAAAATAGTTTTATTTTAAAAGATGCAAAAACAAATTAGAAAAAGAAAAACAAACGACAAAATGATTAGCGTATTAATTTTTCAAATTGCTCAAAAATTAGTTGATGAATGTTAACATATTCTTAATTTCTCCGATTTTTATATTGAAATCTACACGAATTATTTCGCTATTATAAATTTAGGAAGTGAAACATTTTACATTACTTGAATCAATAGTTCAACTAATAGTTTCTGATATTGAACAATTTGTTAGATGATTAAAAAAAATCATGATCGAACTTGCAGACACAGAAGATGTTAATCACTATTCGTTTGGTCAAACATTTCATTTTTGCCTGGAACATGTTAATGAATGATCTGAGTATGATTTTCTCGACTAAACACTCACACAAAATCAATTGTTGAGAATATGATTTTATTTAAAAGGAACCATAATCAAACAAGTGAAGAAAAAAAATACGTTGAATTTTGTCAAAAATAAAATCGGAAATCGTCGATTTGTTATTTTATTTAAATTAGTATATCGCATAAAAGTTCCAGCAGTATTTTTGTTGTTTTTTTATCGAATTTCAGCGAGCGAAGATGACCATAGTTCGTTAGAAACAATTGAATGAATATTAAATTTATAGACAATATGAAATCACTAACAAAGTCTTTCAAGAACTTTTGTTTCGAAGACAGAAAACGAATTATTTGTACGAAACAAAAATAAAGATGTTTCAATATTGACATTGCTGATCTTGAGTTAAATGGAATTCATATATTATTTATTTTTTTATTTTTATTTTAAGTTTTTTTTTCGTTGAAATAGTTATGGTTTATTCGATTTATTAATCAAATGAGCTTTTTGCTTATATCAATATATTCAGTTTAAGTCCCGGCTATCTTCTATCTACGAAAGTTCTTTCTATCTATCAGGAAGTAAGCAACAATATGGCAGCTAATATATCAACACTTGCCATATATGTGAATTATCAGAAAGTATATGACAAAGTTTGGCATGCAGCACTCTTAGTTAAGCTGTATCGTTTGGGTATGCCTCTCGATTTACTTAAAATTGTTGCTTCGTAGCTAGAAGACAGACGAGTGTATGTATTTTTTGGAGAAAAGAGCTCTAATCTGTTTCATATTTTTTCGAGTCTCCCACAAGATAGTAGCCTAAGTTGCTATCTTGTTATCGTCTTTCATAGTGATCTAATCTCTTGTCTTGGAGTACATTCTGCACATGTTTTTGCGGATGACCTTAACGTTCTCATTCGGTCTCCGGTATCGAAAAACTTTGCGTCTATGATCGAGTATTTAGAAAGTGAAGGAACTAAAGTATACAATCAAATCTCAGCGTACTCAAGGAAATGAAAACAATCAATAAATGTTAGTAAAATAGTTGCACAAATTTTCTTCTCACAAGTAACAATACCGCAAATAAATATCTTAATGGATGGGCAAAAGATAGAAATCGTGAAATCATTTAAATATCTAGGATTTACTTACACCAGTAAGATGTCCTTAAAACCGAACATCAACAGATGTGTAGATAACGTTCAGAAGTCTTTTGAGAAACTATAATGGTTAAGAGCGGAAAAATCATTATCAATGACAGTGTTACGAATGTGTTTTTTTTGCCTATGCTTTTCCACATCTCGCTAGGCTTTTTCTTCTTTTTCCAATACTACCAAAAACTCATCAAGAAACTCTGAGACGCAAATTTCAAGTTGGGATGACGCTGGTGCATCGGTGTCATTTTGTATCGGAGCATAATTTATTTGCGGCAATAAACGAAGATCCCCTTGATTTGTATGTTAAAAAACATATAGAAAAAAGATTAAAGCAAATGCATAAATCTGATTTAGGGATATCTCTTTTTTTAATGATATATTTCACTGAAATGATTTCAAAAAACGTAAACGCGATAACCTTGGTCACTGTTTTCGGATAAAAAGAGTCAAAAATTTGAAAGATAGACATGAGACTATATTATTAAAATGAATCGATTTCGTAAACTAAACTCCTACGTTGGCAATTCATGTGCCTTTCTCTGCTCTTCTCCCTGCTTCACTCCATTTTTTTTCTTTTTCTCTTTTCTTATCTATTCTTCTTGTCTCTTTTTTTTTCATCTTTCGTTCTACTTTATTACTCCTTTTTTTTCAGTTTTTTCCTTCATTACTTACTTCCCATGTTATGAAAATCTTGCATGGTTAATATATCTTCAATTAGCTGTATTTGCTATACATGTGCTTTAGATACTTGTATGCTGTAATGCTAAAACTTAATTTCATCCCTATGCAAGCGCTTTCGAGCGAGCAATAAACAGCAATATCCAAAAAAAAAAATATTCAGTTCATGATAAATTATTTCATTTTGATAATTCCGAGCACGTTTCTAGTAGGGGTGTCCGGCTACCATTAGTGTTAAGAAAATACTAATGCTAATCGAACATCCCTAGTTTCTAGTGACTTTGAAGTAGAAGTAAAAGAAAGTATATCATTTATTAATGATCAAAGAAGTCTTTTTCATCGGTTAATTAGTCTTCAACGAATTCTAATTGAACATGCATCACTTGAACCAACTCTATGATGGATTAATAATGGTTTCTCGACAAAATTGTATAGTATACTTGCTCAACAATTAATTGATACATATAGAATGCTATATAGTATAGATAAAGGAGTAAGAAACTTGATTTAAAAATAATGATTTATTTGATTCCATGACAGTTAATTTCACGGTAATTTCTTTTCACTCGCTATCCCATAACCTAAACCTACCGATGAGTAATCGTCATCGAGAGACAGCATTCTTATTAATGATTTCTCTATTGTTTTATTTAGTTAATATGAATAAATGAATTTTCAAAAATCAATGAAGATTTTCAATAAAATGTTGCTGATGGAAATTTTGTTTCAAATATCCATAGAGAATATGCTGATTTAAATAAACAATTGATTAATTGTTTTCATATATGGATATCATATTTTACGTTATCTCAAACGAAATTCTATCAATTATTTCGTCAATATATTTTTTCACAAACAAAATTAACTGAAATGCTCTTAACAAGCATTAATGGACTCATGCAGTATGATTTTAATCGTATAAATCAAGGTGAATTATATCCAACATTTGTACCTTATGTTAATAATACTGAAGTAGATTCAATCTTTATTGCTTTTCAGGCTATGCATTATGCCATAGCTCAATTTACTCAATCTATGCTAACATTAGATTATACAGTTCATACTATTTTTGAATTACAAACAACACATTTTTATCGATAGTTTTAATTATGTTTATTTTTCTATTACACAACAAAAAAAACATATTTATTCATTGTAGTAATATATTAAAAAAAATATTTTCATTCTCTTTCAATACAATACTAGTAATTATAGTTTATGTAATCGAAATTTATTCTACAACTGCTGATACTAACTATATAGTTCATTTAGAATCAATAATGCATCGAACAATTGTTTTTTTTTTATTCATATGTATATAGTCACTCATAGTAGATTTTCAGCTCTTAGAAGTTTATGTAAAAATGATTTTTTTTAACAGTGTTCTATTCAAGGTTACACACGATTGGAAATAAAATCAGAAGTCATCGTATTTTCTATCATTTCTAGAAATGTTATGAAGAAATGCCGATTGTTTTTCTTCATTTTATTCAAGCTTATAACTTATTAAAGCGATGTTCATAATGCATGTTATTATAGAAATAAATAAAAAATATTCTGATCTTCATTTTTGAAACATCATTCAATGCCATATAATTTTTTACAAGTCATTTAATTTGAAATTCATGCCTAATTCAAAATTGAGTTTTTCGTATGAAAAGAACTTTCGTAATGTACTTATATATATATATATATACTATGTTTCTTACACATGATTCGCATTTTCTAGAAAATTCTGACAAAAATTATAAACAGTCATTCTTATTTTTTTTTCCAAAGAAACATGATATAAAAAGGCATATTTTAGTAGTCAAAGAGGTGATATAAAAATCTGTGATGAACAACAAATTTGTTCTATTGAAAACCATTTGTTAGCATACTGTGAATAGATCGACATACCCTTAATTACACTACCAGAATATCAATGGAAATATATACGACATTCAACTATTATCTGTTAATGTCATCAGCACAAAATATTAAATATCTCTTCACAGTTTATTGAAAAAACAAAACGCATTTCTTTACATTATTCAAAATGGTTAAAATGTAATTACAAATAAATCAAAAGATTCATCTCACATCATTATTTTTCTTCTTAATCGAACGATATTTGCTAGAATTCATTTTGATTTAGGACGACGATTTCGAAAAATAGATGCTTGTTTTTCCTGTTGCGCTTCAACTTCAGTTATGCAACATGTTTTTGTACCACATATTTTTTGATGAGGAGCACATACTACACGATGACCTTTGATTGGACAACAAACAGTACTTGATTGACATTTTTTAGACCATTTTTTGCATGAAGATGATAGAAAACCTCTGCAAGAGATCAATAACTCTCAATGAAAGAATATAGTTAATTTGTGTAGACTTACGATGTTATTGCAAACAAGAAAATAATTACTAATAACTCGAGAAGTAATTTCATCGTTTATGAATCTGCAATAAAAAAAATAGCGATTATTCTTTTCTTGTGTGTTGGTATTATATAGACGTAATAATTTGTTGCATTCTTCAACTTTGGCATATTTCGATTAGTCACAATGATTAAAGAGACTAATAGACAAAGATTCTTGCGTGCCAGTATATAGAAACGATAAGACAAGAATGAAAAATAAAATAACTGAGATTAAAGTATTCGAATATTAAGTTTCGTTATCGACTGAATTATCTCGGGAATAGAATAGAGTTGGGTGCCTTCTAAAAGAACAGAACAAACGTCGAAGCAAAAAATGCCATATTTCTGACAAGTAAATCATTCATAATTGATCGACAGATTTGAAAAATATTAAAAAACGTCCATCAAAAGTAAATATATATTGATCGAAATATTAGAAACAACAATTGAAAAATATGTCATGCGCTCTTATGGAAATAATCAATCAACTTTGTTAAAAAGAAACTCACTTTTCTGCTGTTTTTGTTTCATTGAAGTATATATTTCAATTTTAAAAAAATATAAAATCAAAACTGTGTTGCTTGAGTTAAACTTATCTGAATAGATTGTTGTGAGAAATTCAGAAATTCTGATTATCAATCAATTGATGTGTGTGGGTGTGAGTGTGCGGGTATGAACAAGAATGGTTTACTCACCCATACCCCAATTCGAGAAAAATAAAAAGACGGGTAAAAAGACCAGTCGAATTTCTAGTCATGACGGAGCGAGCGGTCTCGTCTTTTTTCCAAAACGGACTGGAATATGAAGATGTGGAGTGTAGGTGTGGCTGTGGGCAAAGAAAAGGCCTGTATCTACACTCAATAAAAACTGGACTAATGTGTCGCTCTTAAATATAATAGACAAAAATCTAAGACAACATGATCTAAATGTGTTAAGTTGTTGGCTAAAGGAAAATATTATATCTCAAGAATTAAACAATAAATATATAAATGTTTATATTATGTGTAGCAATACTTATCCAACGTTTATTGTTATTCTCTGTGGAAAAGAATATCCAAAATATGCGATAAATACAAACAAAGTAATAATGATTTGATCACCATGATGATTCAATTTTTAAACTTTGAACATCATACAGTTACGTGTGAATAATAAGAGTAAAAGCAAATATTTAAAATATGAGAATTTGATTGATAGTAATTTAGAAATAAGTCACTATAAAGTATTGAATATGAATAATAGAAATATATACTTGCAAAATTTGCGAACGTCTATGTCATGATCAGGTACATTATTTGACGATCATAATGAAATGTTGTCTTTGTGGGTGGGTATAAGTGTTGAAGAGGCTAAAAGAGACTCACAATTATACTCACTCCTACCCACACAGACACAAACAGAACCCACACCCTCAATGTTCGAAGCATATTTGTTGATCAAGATCTGAAAATCCATGAAAGTTGCATGATTCGGTATTTAACTTTGTTTTTTAACCTAATTAGATAAGATGCAGCCGTCAATTACAACTTTTAATACATTTTCTTCTACAGGTGAAGATTCAGTTATCAATAATAAGCTGGTAAATACGGGAGACCAGAAGGAAGCTGGCAATAATGAAAGGTTTTCTCCATATTTCATATCTCATTTATAAAATAAGCTCACGGTGTTAATTAACTGGTGGTTATCACCGTTACCTCTCGGCACATCTACGGACTTCGTCATTAGCTTTATCGTTGTATGTTTATTCACTTCAGTTGCATTCATCTATTTAAAATTCAGCAGTTACCCTTTGCGAAAATCCATGACAAATACGGAAAAAAACCTTGGAGTTCTAAAAACATTGAGTTTTTGCAATTTACTTTGGAAATGTTTAGTCGTCATTTAAAAAATTCGGTAATTGTCTTGCTCTTTAATCGATCATTGCTTTATACAAATCAATACCTCTTTCTTCACATCTTCTGAAAGCGAAAACCATAGATTTCTATCGTATTCAAAGACTAGTTGTCTGAAGTTATTTAAATACCTTTAATTTTAAAATAAAGGGTAGTTGATTTTGAAATTGAAGATCAACGAGCTGCCTTTTGAAGTCAACTCCGACATTTATATAAGTCAGAATAAATGTCAATGCTCAATGAGTCATCTTTTTATTAAATTGATGATCACACAACTAGCGTCAAAAGTTCATAAAGAAAGAAATAAAAAATTTCATATGTAGATTTTTTAATAAAACTTTCGTTTTATCGAAAATTCTATTTACAACTCAAATTTATCCCTATGCAAATATGAGTGTATGCTTTCTCATCCCAACAACATGAAACGCAAAACTAAGCGAAAAAAGGCAGAACGTATGTAAAACGAAATACATACGATGATAAGCACATGGATAAAAAAAACTGCTTAGGCGATGAAAAATACATGCTTCATTAATTCACGTAAACATACGTTAGTGGGAAAAACCAAGTAATATTGTCAATTATAAATACAGAGTAAAATCTGTTGCAAGCATACAAGACAAAATTTGTATACTCAACTATTATCTAGCATTTAAGTATATTTAATTTCCAATATTCTTTAACTAGTGATAAAATATTAAGTTGAAAGTCAAGAATGACTACAAACAAGAAAAAAAGCGACAGAGCATAGACATACGGTATTTTCATGACCAGAAAGTAGTTTTATGAGAGCTTGACTTGGTGATAATCAGATTGAACATTGACTTTTCTATGCTTACGTTTCACTGAGAGTACCAGTAATGGAAGGTATGATTTTCATTTTTGAAGAAGATACAATAGCAAGGAATTCAAGAAATTATAATACAATACTGCTCAATGATATAGACGCAGAAAAAGAACTTATTTGAATCTTGATATACTCTATCAAAATCAAAGATTTGAACATGACAACAATAAGTTCTTACTCACAGAATAGAGTAAGCGTCCTGTTTTTTCTTTATAAAAGACTGCCTTTTTTCATTACTGTATATGTATCGATTAAAGAGTACAGCGATGGAATGAATTTAATTGATTGATATGTTTGTCTTTCTCGAAAAAATCTCTCGAAAGTCAGCTCAGGTAAAAAGCAACTTTCATGAAGTAATCCTTTAAGAGGATCAAATCGAATCGATTTTGACTTTCCATCACTCCAGCTGTGCTTCTTTCATATAGAACATAAGCTTATATAAGTGAAAGAGGACTTGAAAGGAGAGGGCAATAAGAAGAAAGAAAATAGCGAATATAAGACAGAAAGATCAGGCAGCTATTATCTTTCATAAGGTTATAGTGTCTAACCCTCATAGTGACCGAAGATTCTCACATGATTGAACCAAATAGAAGATTACTATAGGTCATGCCCTTACTATTGGCACACTAAGAGCATGATCAAAATTGATAAGTCGACTGTTGTACAACAAAAGAAAAACTCATAATTGGTTATAACTTAGATTTTAAACAAAACAAAATAGAGTCTTTTCCAATGTAGAAAATGGTTCAAAAAAATCGATGAAAATCAGATTTCCCCCCTTTTTTTCTTATATGGAAATCATGTGTTCCAAATCTATCACTGACGAGCATCAGCACACATATACTATCTAGTCTTGTTCGAGCGAAAGGTCCATATATAACTACTTTAGTGTCGGTTATATATCAAATTATTATCAAAAATGCAGACTAGTTCTGGATGGAGCCTTTTTGAAAAAAAGACTAAACAGATTAATTCGACATGCTCCTCGTCAGAAAATAATTCAAAGTTAAAAAAAGGAAGACTGTGAAGGACGGTTTACATGACACGCTAGAGTGAGATCAACTGGACTAGTCCAAATGAGTCTAAATCTAAATAAATGATAAGACGGCAATTGGATCGTATCATCGAAAACTCAACTCCCACATCTCGGTAAACATTTATAGACATTATTTAATCGAATTTTATTCAGATATTGTTTTAATTTTTATATGGATAAAAGAAATGATTATAATATGAGTTTATGTATATAAGCGAAAATAAGACTATTTTTAAATTTGAAAATTATTTTTTATTAAGTTTTAGTAAAAATTAATGAATGCGAATAAATATCATGTGCAGAATAAATTAATCATTTTTTTTAAATTTGAAGGGAAAATAATGTATTTAAGCATCATGATTTTATTTTATTTTAAATTAAGCTAATCCATTTTACAGTTAGAACTGGAATAGGCCTGTGCCATCTTAATTAATTCTTAAATTAAACTAATCAGAGTGCATATTTAAAGTTAAATGAAATTCTGACACAACAAAAAAGTATTTGTATTGTTTTGGGGTTGGTGTGGATCTTTTCTTTATTAACAGTGACACACCCACTTCTCACATGTTCTCCACTAGTTTTGGTTGTCTAGAAAATGGATAAGTATTTCTCTGCTATTTGGACTGTTAAAGGTGATGCCATTCTATTGGTGAGACATGATGTGGCAGCAGGATACTCGCCAAGTGCTGAATACAGATAGGTTTATTAATTCACCGAGAGATTGGCAAGTATTGATTGGTATAGAGCGTCAACGCATTAGTGAAGTAAAAAATACAATGCAAAGGAATGAAAAAGACTTACATTTTTTTGTTGCGTCAATTTGTCTTGCTCGACTGTTTCATAACCAATCTCGTTCGTGCCATAATTCAACAAGAGAAAGCATTAATCTGTCTACTATCGAGAGTAACGAAGTATATTTTGCAATAAAAAATATATCTAATCCAATTTTAAGAATTATTGCTTTAAGCATTGTTTTCGATATGAAAACACCGTTTGTTTTTGATGAAGAACAAAGGGATAAATTGTAATTAGAAATAATTAATCTGTTCGAATCCTTACTACCACATATCTCATTAACAATGTTAATTTTTTCATTTCTTCAATGTCATAAAATTTTTCAAGTTTTTCCAGCCAATTCTCAACACATAATTCATGTAATTGGTGAAAAGTTGAATGATATTTCGATTAATAAAAAAACTGAAGAACAAGAAGCGGCATTCATTGCTTTGCGAGTTCTCGATAATTCAGATCTTTCACATTATTTAGCAATATTTGTACAAAGAATCGAAAACTTATCTAATCTTCTTCACTTTAATTCTACAATATTCTTTGAATATTTTACTAATACAGAATCATTTAATTCCTCGCATACTATTATTCTATCATCTAGTATGTATCTAATTGAATTGGCGTTCGACGCTCAAATTCTAACAATGTATATGGATAATGATAAAAAGATTGAAATTTATCCTCTAAAAAGTTGAAAAACTGGTGGAAAGACTCATCGAATTATTCGGAAATAATGACTTTTGAAGTTGCAACGTGGATTACAGACTATTTACAACAGATATCAAACAAAATAGACTTGCAAAAGATTATTGAAAAGATGTATCGTTGTTCAATAATCGAAAGAAAAGCTCTTTCGATAATTGAAAAATGGCGTGACTATCGAATGGATAAAGATTTAAGATATTTTGCATATTATACTGCATTGACACTAGTTAAAGAAGGTTCAAATAGTCCTAATTTGATTGAGATCATCAAAAAAACACTGGTTATTAATACAAAGTTTCACTTGAAAAACATCATTACAGATCTTTTCTATGTACGACCTGTAAATCCAACGATTTTTCGTCAAGTCTTTGCTACTTTACAACAAAATATTCCTTATTCTTCACAAATTGATGTTGGAATTTATTCCAAAGAAATATTAGAATTAATTCTAAGTTTAGAACTCGAACAAATAACTTCGAATATTCATCATAAGAATATTACTAAACCATATTTATTAATGACTAACTATTGTTCAGAACATTTAGAAGTCTATCTTAGACAATATTTGCTTGAATTTATGCAAATAGAAAATACTTTACAGCATAATATTAAAGAAGAACATTTTGCTATTATTTTTAAATGGATAATCGAGATGTCGCTTAGTCTTTTCTATATAACGAAGTTCTCAATTGAATTCTACGAATAGATTTTTATATTTCTTTATAATCAGCAATATCCTCGAGTTCAGAAAGCAATTTTTAATGCTCTCAATTCAATATTTATTCGTGATTTTATACGAAAAGAATATATTATTATACAAGATAATACAATCATTCATTTGGAAAAGGTGATTTATACATGGAATAAATATTCTGAAGATGTTCTAAGTTTTTGTTTATTGACTTACGGTAATTGTATAATTAAGTTAAAAGAATTGAAAAGGAATCGAATCGTTTCAGAAGAAATACAAAATGTGCTTACTACTCTTTTCGAAACATCATCATCAGAGCTTATCTCTATGGCAGCTGCTTTTTGTTTAATTATTATTGATTATTCGAATATGACATTTAAAACAATATTGAATTGGTTCGAAAACAAACACAAAATAACGCTTAAACAAACATATAACATCCAATTATAATTAACTTTATACAAAAGATGGAATTTATCATCTGATCAAGATTTGGAAGTAATTGTTCAACTTATTGATATATTTATTGTTAATCTTTATAATTATTTATGTAACAAAGAAAACATTGATTATCTTACTGATTTTATGCCTAATTATGTTGATATAGCACTGCAATTTTGTGAAAGAAATTTGCATGTATCTCGTAGTGCTATAAAGAATTGTTCTTTTGGCGAAGAGAAATTTCGAAAAGAATACTTACTCTATTTCTATCAGACTAATAATCTAGCTGATCGTAAGATTTTAGTACAGTTGTATGCTGCATTTGATGGAATTACAAATGAACTTGTTGAAATGGACTGAATTTATTGAGATTGGCGGTGAAATTTTCGAATATGGTCATAGATTCGTTGAAAATGGTAAATGGATGGTAGTATCTTGAACACATTAAATATGTATCTGATAGAGATATTATTGAAAAAATATTTCAATGTTTAGATTCAATGTCGTATGATACTAAATCCCAAGATGTTTCATCTATTTTCAAATTACTCGTTCAGCTGCTTGAAAATAATGTTGTACCTTTGTCAGAAGTACATCAACATATTTCACCTATCATCAATAATCTGTCATGTAATAATGATAATGGGAAATCATGGCATGATGAGAAAGAAATTTTTGATCTTTTATTAAATCTTAGTTGTATTCGTAAAAAAATCTTTGCCAAATTGTAAGAAAAAACTGTTTACGAGTTAGTGATATTAATGAAAAATTTGAGCAAGAAATTCGATATTTAAGACGTAATTGAGCTCTTTATCTTAGAAGAAATTATTTGTTGAATATTTTTTGATCAATTTCGAATTGTTCTAAGTAAGAAAATTATACTATTTTTATGTATTGATTTATGGTTTCTTTGATTTCATAGTTGAAAGATTTTCTATTCATAATCAATCGAATTTTTGATTACTCAATATCATGACGATCTGTCATCATACATGTTTAGTTAGTGTATTATTTCTTGTGAATCCGTAGTGTTATTTTGTTTTCTGCCATTGTTGCCATGCGTTATTTTCTGTGATCCAGTTCTTTTTTGTATCTTCATTTCGCTTCCGTTTTGATTCATCGTTCGCTAAGAAAATAATCATTATCAGAATGTAACATTATGTTAGGAAGAGAGGATGGTTCAAGAAAAGTATATATTATGTGCGTTTTTTCCTTTTTGTTTGTTTGTCTGTTTGAAATAAAGACGTGAAATGTGAATGCGATGAGCAATGATAGAATATTAACAATGGTATACTGGTTAGTCTGCTGTATCACTAAGTAGTCGATCGATTAGTTTTGTGTATTTATATTAGTTACCTATGCTTGCTGACGAACAATTTGTTCCATCTCAAGCACATGTTGTCATTCAAATCGAAGAAAAAACTGCTCAGCATAAAGGCAGTTCTTGATTTCAATTTACACTAGTACATACATCACCTACTTATCAATTAGACATGTCGAGATCTATCACTAGCATGAAAGATCATCAATATAGAGAAGTTATTGACAGGATGGGTGTGGGGTGGGTGTGTGCGTGCGTGTTTTTTTCTATTTACAACCCATACCCACCCTAAACGATATTGTTGATTGAAAAATCATGTACACGTTGCAGTCATTTTACCACTCAGTGAAACAGAAACAAAAGAAAATTTATTAAAAATAAGAGAAATTAAAAAAAATTGAAAAAAGAATTATACTGTGTGTACTATTAGGATCTTAGGACTATCAGTTAAAGCAAAAATAAAAAAGAGAATTTATTGAAAAAAATAATTCACTACTGAGAATTAGTATTAAACATTGATCAAGAAGAAGATCAAAGGAAAGAAAAGATGAACGAAAAGAAGCTGGTAGTGACGTAAGTGCTGAACAATCGATAAACAATCTAAAAGAGGAAAAGAAATGAATGAATATGTGTTGACCACGACATAGCTGAAATCGTAGGTAATAAGCCAATTGTGAATATGTCACATTACACCATCACATCTACCTGAACGTATTCTGAATAAACCATTATAATTCGATCCAAAATCAGCAGAATTAGAAGCGTTTCATTTATCTGATATAATCTATATGATTGGAAATGTAAACTTGACACAAAGTGAGATTAATCTACTATCGAAAGGCTTGAAATTTATACTAAACAAACCATTTAATTTAAATGATCGTCTTCGTTCATGTTTACAAGAATTTTTATCATCTTCCACGTTATTGAATCAGATTAAAATCGACTAACTTCTTCTATCTATATTTTCAAATCAAAAACAGTTTAAAAAGAATAAATCTGAGGAAGAAGAAAAAGCCCTATTTTATCTACAGAAACGTACTGACATTGTTGTTCGTTCAGCTCATAATAGTTTTGGCATTGTTCTATTAGAATCTCATGTATATGAATCAAAAGTATTACAACAACTACAAGGTACACAGTTTTATGATGAATTAAATTATAGTTCTAAGGCACAAATATTCAAGCATATAAAATTTGAATTATATCAATTATTTAACAACAACAAAAATTTCATTTTATGTTCTAAAGCTATTATTACCGGTAAAACCGATCTGTGTAGCATTATATATTCTACCAAAATTACTTAAGATGAAAGGTTCAGATAGTCCTATTGTTTGAGTTGTTCAACATGTTACATCAAATATTTCAAAATATTTAGAACGTCATTTAACACCATTTACATCCCATCTTCATCAAATTGCAACAGATGAACATCGAATTGATAACTAATAACATCTTATTAAAAGATACAAAAAGTTTATTAATCGAGATTGAAAATGTAAACCATGAATTCCAAGATAAAAATTTACATATAAAAAAATGTAATAGTAATTACTGGTGATATAACACCATTCTATACAAACATCGATCAAGACGATGGAATATCTCACGGATGAAATTTATTTCTTCATATGCTTATATTACAAATTTTCCATTATCATTAAATATATTTTGTAAATTACTTGATTTAATATTGAAAAACAGTGTATTTATTTTCAAACAACAACAGTATCATCAGGTAAAATGTACAGCTATTGGTACCATCTTAGCACCTCCATATACCAATATGTGTTTTGTAAAGAAACTATAGTACTGAAACAATTCACTAAAAATTTTCATCACGTCTTCTTCGTTTCTTTCGATTTCTCGATGATATTTTCATTGTTCTTATTTTAAATGATATATTAATTATGAATGAATTACAAAATCTACTACAGGGTATTAATCCAAATTTGAAATATACATTTGAGACAAGTAAATCAAATATACATTATTAAGATGTGAAGAGTATGGATGGGATGGGGAAGGGCGTGGGATCTTGATGTGGTATTTGAATCCTCTCTCTAACTAAAACATCACCCACACCCACATCCACACCCCATCAAAAATGTTGGGAAATAATGTCGGAACACCAAACAACTTATCATATTTTATCAAAATCAATTCATCTTATCTGAAATAGGCGAACAGAATTAGTCTTGCAAATGAGTACTTATTGTATTCTGTTACTTAAAAGTCGATAAATTCGAAACTGATGAATGAAACAAAAACATCATGACAACGTCTATTGTTATGTATGTGCAAAAGATGCTCATCAGAAGTTGGATTGTATATAAGTTGGATAATCAAACAAAATTGAAAACATAAACTATCAACTGAAATAAGTGTGTTCACTTCCAATTGAGTAAACGAAAGAGGTCGATAACCAGTCGAATTGATTGGACCCTATTCGACTCAACTGGATAATTTTATTCGCTTTCGATCTGTGCAGTAGGCTACACTTTCTCATTCGTCATTATCAACATGATCACTCAAGCGGGACTGCACAACAAACGTCACCAATGCGCACATAAATACATGTGATAAAAAACGACGACTAACTCGCAAAAAGTAACACTATCGCGGTTTATTTTAACATGAACAGTAGAAATCAGCATATAGACCAAGAACAATTTCGTTCGTATCAGGAACTTCCTCGTGAGTCGATCTCAGAATTTTAAAGTAAGAAATGAACTGTATAGTGCAATTTTTTCTCAGCTCAAGTAGCAGTAATAGAAGCACGTGATAATAGATCTGCCAGACATCATCGCCATCATCATCGATCTCACCATCACCGTCGAAGCCAACAACCCGATGATGTAGCATCTGGGGCTGTGATGTCGACAAGTAATACGCGTTTTCAAAGCACTGGAGCTGCTATTGGCTGTGAATTATACCAACAACAGCAGCCAGGCAATGTAACGTTTTTACGCCAAGAATATATAGTACCGCCTCAAATGATGACGATGCCAACGTTAGAGCAGCCAGTTTATGTTCAATCAAGGTTTGCACTATTCATAGAATGAGTCAAAATAATTTTTTTTTCCTAGGTTGCCACATTCAATCCTAAAAGCGCGCGCCATCATGACGGGGAACGATATCCTTGCTGCTGGTGCTGCCAGCAAATGGAATTTTACTGGTGCTTCTGCAAGTGATGAAAAACAGGTCTGTTTTGTATCGAAAGAAAACGTTTAAAATCCATTCTTCAACAATAGCCCGTCTACGGACTAATCAATTTTGAACAAACACCGAAGGGTGTTCACATCACAGGCCGTATCGATGGTTTAGGACAAGGGACTTCACACGGGTTTCATATTCACGAGTTCGGTGATGTCAGTTCGGTAAGGATTAGTCCATTGCGCTGAGTTATATATGAAGAAAAATAAATTTATCTGATAGGGTTGCACAACTGCTGGTGCACATTTTAATCCGCTCAATCGTGTCCATGGTGGTCCAAATGACGTTGAAAGGTTTGCAGTTTACATTGACGTTCGAATAACCAAAATTTTGTTTTTCTTCTTCTCCCAGACATCTGGGTGATTTGGGAAATGTGACAGCAGATATTTATGGCGTAGTTTATCTCAACATACTCGATCCAATGATATCTCTTTACGGTGAACATTCAATTGTTGGGCGTGCTATTGTTATTCATGCGATGCCCGACGATTTGGGTCGTGGAGGGAATGAGGAATCGTTGAAGACGGGAAATGCGGGCGCAAGACTTGCTTGTGGTGTCATTGGATTTGCAAAACCATAAATGACATGAACAATAGATGAGCGATAGTTTTTTCCTAAAAGCCTTTCTAACTGAACATAATACATTGTTCCTCAATCAGTTCTATAAATAAATGATAATCAGGCTGCTCATTTCCTTGTCGAGTCTATCGTGAAATTTTGAAGGCATTGAGTTCTTATCAGCTTTATTAGAAGGGAAAGAGTTACTCCCATAACAAGCTGAATAGACGCTCTAACAGAAAAGTTAGACAAATTGTTCACATTTCAATCAGAGTTGTGACAGAGTTAAAATAGCTGACTATTGAAAAAAAAAATCAATAGCAAGAAAATGTGTATGTAGTCTTACTCAACGTTAGTACCACAATTATTCAGTTACTTGGAATCCAGTCATCAGTAGTCAACGAACGAAGAAAATCTAACCTCAGAATGTACTGATGAAACATGATGCGCGTTTATTTTATTCTTCTTACCAACAAGTAACTCTCCGTCGCTTCGACTCGCTGTAACCTCGACTGAATGATTGAGTTTTGTATATTCAGTTTTGTCTTTCATAAATAATCGATGAAAATATCAAACACAGACAGCTGTGTACCTTTCTAACAATTGAAGAAATATTCTTTTTTTCCAAAATACTTCAGAGTTAGCACTTCTTTTCGAATGAAATTTGTAAAGAAAGTCAAATCATTTGTGGACAAGCCTAATTCAAGTGATAGACCGCTCTAGTGGGATAAATATGACAAAACGATAATTTGATGAAATGGATTGCTTTGGATTTATAATATGGCTTATACATTGCCTAAGAATCTTTGTACTAATAGCTGTATATTTTCAACGATTACATTAACATACAAGCATAATTCATTGATTGATAGTAACGAACATGAAACGAATAGAAAAATATCTAATAAACATCATTTCATTAATGTGTAAAAAAGACGGAGTATTAAAACTTATAATAAAATCATAAAGGAAAATCCTACAAACTGAATACAATAGATGCTGAAAATGCGAGAGTAAATAAAAAAGAGTTATAAAACAAAAAAATTGCACAAGGACAACAAAAAAAGACTCACTAATGCATGTTAGGACAGGTAAAAGTATAAGTATGAATACTGGATAATGAAATTTTTTACACTAGAGAAAAAGATCAAAACCATTCGGAAAAACTCATTTTTGTCTCTGACTAGAGTTTATCAGGTCTTTCCATTTCGGCGAGTTGAGATTGATTCAGCTTGATTAGCAAAACCTTGTAATCGAAATGCCGTAAGATAACTAAATCAATTAAGCGTTTTACACGCGATAATGGTACATAAATTGCTGCAATGTCATCAGTTTCATTTGGTAGCCTCAGGTCAATGACGACTTTATTCAAACTTTGACCTTGACTCTTATGTGTCGTAATTAAATAAGCAGAAACAAGTGGTAATGCACGTCGTTTGATTGACAAGATTGCCGTTTGATTTAATTTTTGTTTCCTATCATTTGGAAGAATATCACCAATGTCAACGCGAAATATCTGCTCCATTAACAGTACGGGAACAAGTTTTGGGTGAAGTGCTTCAAGATTGCATCCGATCTTCGCTTTTGTAATTTCAATTAATGCATATACAGGCCGATGAACATATCGCGTGCCACTCGGAAATGCTTCCGATAGACTATTTGTTGACACAGAATCTGACTGGTACACAAGTTGTCGAAAGATTCCGTTAATGCCATTGATAAGACCCAGTTTAATAGCAATGTTTTGTGTTAAAATAACAGGCATTCCTGGTACAAATGGTAACAAACCTGGTAAATGCTTCGTCTTGCTATCAGACAATTCGAGGAGTTTTTTAAACGAATGTAGGATCTTCGACTGGTTTGCCTTTGCAGGTATCTTGAGCAATATATACCATTGGTGTATAGCATAGTTGTGCTGCATCGTGAATTGCTGCTTTGTGGTTTAACTGCATTCGTACTTCATTTCGGAATACTAGAATGGAGACCCATCTAAGACAAATATAGGAAATCATCTTAAAACGAAAAAGAAAACTTACTTTATTCCATGGTGAATCACACAGAGAGCCTACTGATGGTTCCCAACCACTCGTGTCAGTAATAATTCATAATCATCGTAATTACATTTTCCGTGACGAAGTCGTTCGAGTAATTGAAGATATCGTAGATCCTCCGTTCGTATCTGTTGCGTAAGTTTTACCACACAATTACTTTGAAGAATTAAAGATCGTACAACACGTTGTTGAATTTCTTTTTCTGTGGGTCGTTTGCGCGGTTTAGTTTTAGGTGCTAATGTGAGATCAGTGTGCACTAGTGCATCATATACAGATCGATATTGCAAATAGTCACCAAAGAAAATAATGGTCACACCACCAAATGAAACTTGAGGATCAGAATGTTTTGCAAGTAAAGTTAAACCAACCATACTCATCTCAGCAATTAAGAGATACTCGATAGATCTCCATTCTTTCTCGAGTTTTGCATCACCTGGTTTGATGGTTTGTGGCTCTCCAAAATTACGTTGTTCGCCCAAAAATGAATGAATCGTCATGTCATCTATTTCAGCAGCAGCAATTCCAGCAGGTGTCCGCTTTCTCATCATTTGGATTCTTTTCGTAATGAGAAAGTATTTTGTGAGAGCACGAATGAGTTGTGAGTTGCCTGTGCCACCACATCCAGGTATACACATTATGAGCTGACCGTTGTTGTCACCTAGAAACACAATATTTTGATTTATGATAATTCTTGTTATAAAAGTACCTGCATGACATCGGAAGTCCCCATCAAGATGACTTATTCTTTATTCAATGTAAATTCATCGGTAATGTTTTTCTGAGTAAGAAAACTAGTTGTAATTGAAACTACCGTAGGAATCAATCCATAGTATGTAAAATTGTTATTATTACAATTGTTTGAATTCATCACAGTGACTACACCATCTTTTGCAGCATAGAAATTCAAGGTACCCTCTTCGGTGTCATCTTTGCCTATGATTAACTTTTGCCGAACTCATTCTTTCTCAGTTTTCAGTTGTTCTTGTTACTTTGTATTGAGTTGAATAAGTTTAGGTGTTGCAGAAACTAACGGTGCAATTTGTTGATCTGTAGGGCGGACGAATTCATTTGAAAGTGGTTGCCCATATTCTACAACAAATTTTTTATTACTTAGTTTAACCTTGCTGATCAATTAACAACGATTCTTACTGTTCACATGAGTAAATCGTCTGACATTTTCGACTGATGTGATAATTTCTTCCATATATTTACTTTCCGTTGACTTTTTGATGGCATTAGCTGTAGTAGTTGTGTATTCATCTAAATTGCCTAGAAGTTCGAGCAAGTCGTCATTATTGTCAATATTGTGTTCATCACTAACATCTTGATTTGCTGGCAGAAGTATAGGATCAATTGCGTCATTGTCGACTTGAGCTTCAGCAATAACTTGAAGTAAATGTTCATCACGATCCTTTTTACATTCATGTAAAAGTTCAATATTTTCTATAATCTTCCATGAATGATTAGATATAAGATTTTGTCGAGATTTCAATGCATATTCCCATGTTTGATTGGCATCACAAAGATCCGTAACGGTGCACCAAGGTACGAAAAGTGTGAGAAGAGCTCGACTATATTGTTCTTGAGTGTCATCACGATCTTGCCAAGGAATTTGAGGACCATAAAGAACAGGTACACGGGGCTGACTGTATTTCATCAATAGATGTGTTGCACTTTGTGGATGCTGTTTTTTTTAAACGATAACGTTCATTCGATGGTCGACCTTCTTGGTTAACATTTTCTTCTATTGATGTTACAGTCTTCGATAAATGTTATAGATCCTTTGTATTCATTTTTTTCTTATATAATGTACTGACAAAGTCATATAAGCACATATTGTTGAGTATGTCGGATCGATACTGATAATCAATTCGTGTGTTGACAAGTATATATTTTTTTTAATTTTCGGTCAATTGAATTTGAAATTGTTGTTCGTCATTATTTTCATTGTCAATTGTCTCGTCATCATAAACATTATCGTCGATTACATCTAAATATGAAAGATACTACATTAATTTTAGCTTAACTGTAACACTGTAGTTCAACTGATCTTCACAGCTTTTTTTCTTTCATGTGTATAACAAACACAATTATGACTCCAACAATGTAGTTGTTTTACTAGGCATTTGAATTGTACTAAGACATCATATGCCTGTCTCTTGTACATCTCGAAAAACCTAAGATATCAGCTAAAGTATTTTTTGACGTACAAATTAGTTAACGGTCTAGTTTCTAAGGATTACTTTTTCCCACATCATTCTTCCTTTTCTTATCGTATATGATGATCACTCTGTTTAATGAAAACTACTTCTAAATGATAGTATCATAGATCAACATACTGACCTTTCGTTGAAAGTTGCAATTTTTGTTTGGAGCGTATTTCATTCAATGAGGGTTATTCCGAATTCGCTTATGAGCCTCCAGCCAATAAGAAGAGGGATGAACATATATCGTTTGTTGCTAAGAGCGGCTTGTCGTCTTTGAATTTTTTCTTTGCACTTTCTATTCGATTCATTTTCATATGAAAATGAATAGAATAGAAAGTGCAAAGAAAAAATTCAAAGACGACAAGCCGCTCTTAGCAACAAACAATATACACTGTAAAAAAAAAGGTATTTTCTGGAACCTCAAAAAAAGGTTCGGTAGATGACACAAAGTTTGCAAATGTGTTGAAAGTTTCAAAAAGCGAATAAAAAAACGGGACCTTTAAAGGATCTTACCGTGTACCCAAGTGAAGATCCTTTTTTCTTCGAAACCTTTTTAAGTTCCGTACACCAAAAAAAAGGTTCTGTAGGAAAGTACGAAACATTTAGGGTTTCGTATTGAACCTCGAGGTTTCGTACTTGATCTCCTATAAAACTATTATACTAGATGCGAAACTTTAAAGATTTCGTACTTTCCTACAAAACCTTTTTCTTGGTGTACGGAACTTAAAAAGGTTTCGAAGAAAAAAGGATCTTCACTTGGGTACACGGTAAGATCCTTTAAAGGTTCCGGGTTTTTTCTTATTCGGCTTTTGAAACTTTCAACACATTTGCAAACTTTTCGTCATCTACCGAACCTTCTTTTCAGGTTCCAGAAAGTACCGTTTTTTTTTACAATGTATGTTCATTCTTCTTCTTATTGGCTGAAGGCTTATAAGCGAATTCGGAATAACCCTCATTGAGATTGTAAATAATGCTCAATTTGAATTAGATAGAGACCTTGAAACTTGTACGTTGTATAATAATCATTCCAGTTCATAAAATACGAAGCAACTTGAATTCCAGATAGTTCTTGTTGAGAAGCAAGTGTATTGTAACAACGTAGGGTGTGGGTGTGGGTGAGTGTGAGTCGATATGTGTGGGAGTGTGGTGGCGTGGTGGATGGGCTGGNGGGTTGTGGTTGTATGTGGGGTGTGGGCGTGGATGTGAATGAAATATAAATATAAGTACAACCACACACATCCGCACACATCCGCACCCAAACCCGACACCCACACCCAGGTCGACTTTTGATTTAGTACCGATTTAGTGTAATTAAAACTTCGTGTTCATATGCTAAACGACTACATATAAGAAAAGTGAGCTCCAGATAAATATCTCGAGAGCTCGAACGCGAGGGTTTTTAAATCACAGAGACACAATCACACACAAAATAAAATATATATACAATGAAAATAATGACGAACAACAATTTCAAATTCGATTGGCCGA